CGGTACAATTGTGTATGTACTCATCGCCTATGTATGGTTTGCTTTGCTGAAGGTCACATGTCATTTAAGTGTCCGTCATCATGTGCCATATGTAAGCGTCGTCATCACGCATTACTACATCGCGAAGCAAATTCAAAACCGGTCGCACCTTCAGCTGCTCTGCTAGGTCGACAACAAGCTCCAACAGTACTGCTCGGGACAGCTCTAGTCCATGTACGCGACACGGTAGGGAGTTGCCGGACAGTTCGTGCTCTAATAGACTCCGCTTCGCAAATTAGTGCGATAACGTCGACATGTTGTGATCGTCTGGGGTTTAAGCCATCGCGTTGGACGGTACCAATCACAGGGCTTTCAGGTCAGAAGGTTCCAGACGTGCAAGGCATTGTCCAGCTAACGATCCAGCCGAGAGAGTGCTCCACCCCATCGATCAAGGTTCAACCTTGGGTTCTGACAACCATCACATCCGACATGCCCGCCCGGCAATTACCAGTTCAAGTACGAGCCAGATGCAGCCACTTGTCATTAGCGGATCCAAGCTTTGATGTACCAGCTCCGGTCGATATGCTCATCGGCGCGGATATTTTCCCGCAAGTCTGGAACAACAACAAAAGCAGCTCATTGGGACCAGGATTCCCATCGGTATACAGCTCGGTATTCGGTTGGGTCCTGATTGGTCCGGTCCAGGATCATCCAAACATTGGGGGTCAGTCCATGTTAGTGTCCTTAGTGTCATCTATGGAGTCCATCATGGAAGGGTTTTGGTTGGTTGAAGAACCGGAGGCAGCTCCGCCTCGGTTTACTGAAGATGCTCTGTGCGAAGAGTTATTCAAATCGGAAGTTTGCAGGGATTCAGAGGGTCGGTTTTCTGTTCCTCTTCCGTTTCGTTCAGGTCGACCAGTGGAAGCTTTCCTTGGTTCTCGACAGGTTGCGCTGAATCGGTTTCTAAATCTGGAGCTGAAGTTGTCCGCGGACAACATCTTGTACAAGGCCTATCGCAAGTTCATGTCCGAGTATGAGGAACTCGGCCATATGTCCCTAGCTGAAGGTACTGGTCAATACTACATCCCTCATCATGCGGTGCAGAAAATTGAAAGGGATGAGGTAAAGTTGCGGGTGGTATTCGATGCTTCCGCGAAATGCCATTCTGGGGTGTCCCTCAACCAGTGCTTGTTGGTTGGTCCTAAGTTACAACAGGACATTGTTGATGTCTTGGTTGGTTTTAGAGTGCATAAAGTGGCTTTTACGACAGATATATGCAAGATGTATCGCCAGATCGATTTGCTCCCACAATACCGAGGCTATCAATACATCTTGTGGCGGGATTCTCCGCAAGTGATCGTCAAGGAATATGTTCTGAATACGGTAACGTATGGGGTAAATAGTGCTCCCTATTTAGCCTTGCGTGTCCTACGTCACATTGCTGATACAGATTGTGAGAAACTGCCAGAGGTGAAAGGAGTTCTTTACAATCATACATATATGGATGACATTTGCGTCGGTGCCGAGTCGTTGGAAGCTGCCGAGGCGCTGCAGTTAAACCTGGTCACGACCCTTGCCAGGTCCGGTTTAGAATTGAAGAAGTGGGCCAGTAATAAGCCAGAGTTACTGAAGAATATTCTTCAAGAAGATCGTTCGAGTGACCCCTTGTTATTCGAGCAGGAAAATGCCACGCAAGT